GTGCTGAGCCCTTGCCCAGCTCAAATCCCCAAGTGTGGGCCACACTGCAGGTGTGTGCCCCGAACCCGAGGGCCGCAGCCCCACAGCTCCCCTGACACTGCGCTGTGGAGGAGGGGCCTCGGGGTGGGCCAGGGCCCCCATGCGACCCCACACGCTGCTCCTCAGCCTTCTCATTTCCCCACGGTTCACCAGAGAAACTCAGCGTTAGCTCTTTTCAGAACCCACCCTAAAGTCTTAGCTTTCTCGCCACATTGCAATTCCTGTCCTCAAATTCTGTCTGCATTTCTGTCTACGGCATACCAAAGCCTGAAAAAAGTGACAGCCAACAGACTTGTTTCTGAAGTGAGCTCATCCTGTGAATTTATTGATAGACAATCGTGTTTTAGGTTACACTTTTAGACACTGGTAATTTTTAAGCACTTGTAGTTTTTTAGAAAGCAGAATGAAGCCTTGGTGACTAGGCTTAACTTAGTTATCACTGAGCATCACCCTGTGCTGTCCGAAGTAGCAGATGTGAGCATGGCTCCTGGCTGGGGGACCCTTGTGACGTCACCTGTGTAGACAGTCTCCTCTGGGGAATGAGGCCATTTCTTTGAGGTACAACCTGACTTAATGGTCAGGGCGAAGGGTTTCCTGATTCTTTCTTGCCAAGATACAAAGCTTCCTCTGCTTCTAGAGATGAGAAAGAAAGGAGGGAGCACAAAAGTGCTGAGCTGCTCCCCGCCAGAGGGGCTCAACCCCCGGGGTGGGCTGGGAGGAGGCAGGAGAAGGAAGGAGAAGAGAGATCCAGGCAGATGCCACAGCCTGCTCTGGGCTGTGCCCTTGGGGTTCAGTCCTGAGTTCTCAGCGTGTCTGCAGGAAGTGAAGCTCTTGAGGCAGTGGATGAAGAGCTGACTGGCTCACCCAGACCAGTCAGGGACCAACTGGAAACGACCTATGTGACTGAAGACCGTGGACACCAGGCCTGGTCACCCTCTCCATCTGTGGCCTGGTCTGTGCTCCTTGAAGTCATATTCCTCTTCTGTTTGGATGAGTTCTTTCTTCAAATGCATGACTGGAAAGAAATCCACTTTGACAAGATGAATGTAAAATTATATTAGTCTACAAATGTAAAGCTACTACTCGTTTTAAACTCCTGGGGACAGAATGGAAACCTATTGTGATTGAGCGATGGTGAGCAATATGACTTCTAAGTGACCTATTTCCCTTTAGCACTCAATCTTTATAAGAGAACTGCATTCCTTTCCATCTTTGACTGTTCTTTCGGGCTGCCCTGGAATCACAGTACCTGAAATAATTGTAAAAGTCTTGAGAGTGATGGTCTGTATTACAGTTCTAAAGAGTATTTGGTTTAAAAAAAAAAAAAAAAAAGAAGGCAGCCAGCCATCTTTCTTACAAGTCAGTCCAACTTACTTTCAGCTTAAATATGGAAAGGGTCATTGGGGAGTAATGTACCAGGAATAGCCTTAAAATTTAATGTATGGTAGAGAAAAGCCCATCCATCTACCTGAGGTTAGGATGTTACCTGCTGTTTTCCTTTATTACCATGTATGGAATGCCCTCTGTGTTTATGAAATACATTCAGAAATAGCAGACTGGGTTGTCCAAGAAATGTGAGAGTTTCCTCCTTCCCACACACAAAACCTAATTCCTGGTTTTCTCTTTGCCTTTCTGATACTGTACATGTTTTACAGTCTACACATATTATGCAGTCATGTGATATCATTAGAACCTTATTGGAGGAGGACTTTTTGTCTTCATATTTTAGAATATACAGGAATATACATTATATGGTGCATATTTCATTCTTCATCAATACTTTGATTTCTATTTATTTATGCCCCTTCATAAGGGTACAGGAAAAATTTGTTTAGAAAGTCTCATCATCTCAATTCAATGCTTCCTTCAGTTATTATGTATTTATCTTTTCATGTCTGTTTCACCTTTATGTCCCACAAAATACTCAGCACATGGTAGAACAGACAGGAAATGTTCACTGAATGAATCAGTGCCTTACAGAGTCTCAGAGCTTAGCTCTGGTCCTTATTGCTGCCCAGTGCTTCATTGGAACATTCCCACTACACTGTCTGGGCACTAAGTTTGGGCAGTGACAGAATCCATACTCCATAGCTTCCACCTAAGCTCAGCTGCATGTTTCTTGAGGGAACTTAGTAGAGGTAAAATGCTATGAGATATTTTCCTCCTTTTTGTCTCCTTTTAATTCATGCAAATAATAGCTTTATTCATGGTTCATCTTGAAAGTTTTACAAATACAGGATCATTCCAAACTATTAACACCTAAGAAAATACTTAACTTGTAAGTGAAAAAGAAATATATACCTGAATATTACACTCACTTATGCTGATCAAAATGACCACAAAAGGAATTACAACTGTAATATCTAATGCCAAAGAAGCTGTGAACAGTTAATGCAGAATTGATGCCTATGAAAAATACGTGCAACTGAGGCTCCTTAAAGTGATTTAGAAACATACAGTTAGCAACATAAAAAACTTTCCAATAACCAAAAATCAAGTCCATGGAATTTAATCATAATTAAAAAGCTTGACAGAAAATTTGGGTAGAGGTATTTATTTTAGTTCATCTTTAACAGCTAAAATTGGCAACAACCTATACATTCAAAAATACAAGACTGGGCTAGGGATTTAGCTCAGAGGCACAGTGCCTGCCTGGCAAGCACAAGGTCATGAGTTCGATTCCTGGTACCAGAAAAAAAACAAATCAAAAATTCAAGACTAATTAAATGATCACACCTCATTCTGATAGAGAAAAATCAAACTACTCACAAGACAGTGGTGACTATCATGTCAAAACAAATGTGATATAAAGATTAAAAATCTGAATGCCAAACTATGTAATAGGCTTACGATTTCTTGGAAATGTGTAAGAAAAAAGATATAAGGAAATATGACAAAATGGAAAGGAATCCAGAATGATGACATTATGACCACATTTTTAAAATTTCATGTCAAAGATTATTTTAGCCATATATAAAGTCAAAGAGAAAAAGAGAACAAGTTTTAGTCCCTCGATGTTCATGTACTAAGAAAAATGTTGGGCAGATACCTAAACAAAATTTCTCTCTCTTGCTTCTACTCTCAGCATGAGTTTTGTCCAGTTCCAGGGGCTTAACCTTTAAAAAAAATAACTCTGGCTACCATAGTTATTCTTTGAAAGTCTAAACAAAGTTTGTATTGCTTGCTGGCAGCGTCCCGTCTTTGCATTAAACCATGAGTTACAATATTAGTGCATCCTGTTGTGGGCACTTTGAAGAAAGCGGACTCAATAGCTCTTGTTCTGCTCACAGAGTAAATGATATCTCCTTTCAGGGTACATTCTGTTTCCAAGTTCTTACCTTAGTTAGATACGAATGCCATATCAAAATTTTCCCATAATGGCCATCATTATTCTAGGTCAAGAATTTTGTGATTTTTCCAAGGAAAGTGCAAGAGTTGCAATTACAGTGTGATTTTATACAGGAAATGGAATCTCTTCCAAGAGGTCAGTACTTTAGCAATTATAATAATGCACCAGAGGAACAAGACGCCTTTTACTCATCTAGAAAAATACCGCAGGCTTCTTACGGCTTAGTTTAGTTGGTGGATTTATCAGAAGTGATCATTATGTAAGTTATACTTAATTCTGGTTTCTATACATTCTGGAAGCTCATTTGTAAATGGGACTTACGAGGAAGTTGGCCATGAGCATTGAAATCTTCATCTTTTCTACCACTTTCTAGACACAGCCACGCATCAGTAGAGCACAGCCTCTTCAGCCAGATGATGCGCTTTCAAATTTTGAGTATTTGTGTAAATCTGGACAAATCAGTTCTCTGTGCCTTGGTTTCTTTACCTGTAAAATCATCAAAAATAATACCTTCCTCCTTCAAGCGTATATAATTAAGTGAGTTAAGGAATGTGAAGACCTTGACACTGAAGAAGTGCCACTGTACTATTAATGTACATGGCTTTGAGGCCACGAGGACATAAATGACCCTGTCCTGCCCTCCAGGTGAAAACATTCTTCAAAATCAATTGAGTTTTCAGTCAACCTAAAACTGTTCTTAAAAATATATATATATATATTTTAAAAATCAACTAAGAAGCAACTTTACTGCCTTCAGTGGAAAGAAGAAAGCTGTCCAGCAGTTGAAAAGGCTTCAGGGATATTTTTTAAGTCAAAACAAACTTCTGGGGGGTGTAAGTTTGAACCGCATGGAAGCATAAAGGAACAAGGATCTCCATTTGTGTCTGGACTCTTCTAGGGACTTCTTTTTCCCTCTTTGGAAAACGATGGCTGATTCAGAGGCCAGATATCCTAGTGGAGATCATCTTTCTGAAATGGGAACTTCTAGCCTAATTGCCATTGTCTTCCCACCCCCAACCCAAGGGCTGTTGCTCAATATGACAATGAAAGCCATCAACCTGGAAGCTTCATTCTATTCTTTTGTACAGTGAAATGAAAGAAAGCCATTTTTACTTTTTCACTTTTGGGTGGAATGTGTCTAACAAGTAGGTGTTCAAAGATGTGTATGTTTTTTAAGAATTAGATTTGCAAAATTTTGTTCCATTAGCTCTAATATGAAAATATAATGAAGTAGTCTTTACTTTCCTTAGCTGATGAATCACTTAAAAAGTCTTAATCACGGGAGTCTTGTATTTTTCAAGTGCCTTTTATTTCTTCAGTGAATACTTATTTGATATCTACAACATACAGAACACCATGCTAGATATTACCATTGATAAGTCACTTCAGTTTTCTTGGCGAATAGCATACTGAACGGAGATTAATCCTATTATGATCTTGTTCTCTAGCACATCGAATTTTGGACCCTACAAATTAACCTGTATTTCCACTAAAAGTCACTTATTCTGTCTACTTCTAGGGCATTATTGGGTGATTATTGCCTTAATTGTCTACACAACATGCCAGCATTGTCTGTTGTGCTTAGTGGTGTCTATTTTTTTTTCGTTTTGAGGGTGAGCCTGGGTTGCCCGGAGCAATAGGACAGGATGGGACCCCTGGACCAAAGGTTAGTACATTGAGGCTGAGCAGATCCTTGGGCACACGGACTTCAAAGGCTATCGTGATTTTTTTTACTGTTCCACCAGTTGCACTTGGTTTGAATTTTTTGTCAACGGTGAAGCATTCTATAGTGCAGAACTTCATGACAAAGGAAGAAATTATGTTTGTGATTTTAATTAGCATTAAAATGTACAAACAAATAGGATGTGATTGCTAAAATCTTTCAAATATGACTGCTGTTATTTTACCCCTTCACAAGCATATGAAAACATAGGTCACATCCACACTGCCTCGCACATACACGTTCACAGTGACGAGCCTCGGTAAAGGGGATGTGCCCAGGACCGCTCTGGCTGTTTCTCAAGACTTGGCCACCTTCAGCCTGTACACAACATAACCACTTAATCAGATGAAGAGCAAATAAAGATGTGGCATGTTTAAAATTTAAAAATGGATGTAGTCTGAATTACTAAATGGGGAAAAAATGTAATGAGGATATTTTTTTGGATTGGACATTTTCTTTGTTTCTCAAAGAACAAATGAATCTGTTAAATATAAAAGATTGGTGACAGTTTAGTTTAAACTAAACAGGCAGACAAATCCCAAATCCTTTGATGAGCACAGATCCCTTGAAGTACAGAACTAAAGTCTAATCCCATCAGCTGTGCTGGTGTGTATCTGTCCCCACAGATGCCTGTCAGCTGATTTTACAGATCACAGTACTATTGACAGGAGCTGAGGACAGACCTCACATTTATAGACCTGTCCCTTGTCCTGCAGGAGGGCAAAGAAAATGTCTCTTCTGGGACAACAGCCCTTTTCCTGTCTCCTTCACAAGCAAAAAAGTCAAATGATGGCAATTAATGCTTAATGCATATTCACGGTGCTGTCCCTGTGTTGCCTAGCAACCTGGCCATCAGGGCAGATGTTGAACAGTGAAAGTGGCCAGAAATTCAGAAAGCCAAAGGGTCAGGTTGGGTTCAGAGAATGAAAAGAGTTTACCTTCAACCTGACTTCTTGAGTGGGTTATAAATTAAAACACACACGCTAATCACCTTATACCATTTTTTCAAAGCAGTCTGAGCTTGCGGCAATACCTAGTCAAGCTTTTCATCAGGAAATATTATCATAATATTGTGATGTTCTTTAGAACATTCCTGCTCCACCATCTTTCCAGGATAAAGTGATAATTATGAAATTCTTTTTAGAACACATGACCTTTTAGTCCTCATGCTTGCCTGGTTCTTATTTGGAATAGAGACATCTCCCCTAAACTCATTAAAATTATGCCCCCTCTGGCGTCATTCCTGACAGGATCCATGCCTCCTAAAACACACCCGATCTGAGACACGCTAGTTGTCAAGAGCTACAGGTACTGTGTGACTTTGGAAAGAGGTCTGAGTTCAGAACTGGTTCACAATCTTTTTAGAGGAGAACAGGTTGGGAAATACACTGGGACTCCAGACCCCAAAACAGCCTGTGCTCTAGGGGATTCTTTGAATGAAAGTCTTTAGCAAAGGACATACTGATCTACCTTATTGATCCTGAGTTTCAACAGATAAAAAGTAACAGAGCAGAAGCTTCTCCAGATACCAGATTGGCATACTCTTCCTCTCTCCTTAGTCCCCTGTACATTTTTAAATGATTATCTTGAAAGAATACGTGTATCTTTATTTGTGAAAAAAAGCAAAGAATTAGAATTACATTCACTATTGATATCCATACTCACTTCTCCAGAAAACTCATCTTACCATTTGTTTTCTTATATATA